ACTACTGAGCCACCTTCCCAGCCCAGAGGAATTTGTTATTGTTATCTCCTAGATGTGTTGATCATATTTGGTCACGTTAATACAAAGCCCTTATTTCTTTGAAATACTGTGGGAAATGGAAAGTGAAAAAGATATGTAGCTCTTGATTGGCTATGAGTTAATAATGATTGTGGTATAGCGATTGGAACACAGAAGCCTGCTAGACTATTCTTTCTATTTTTGTGGATGTTTAAAATTTTTCCATAATAGGAACTGGGGAATATAGCTTTGTGCTTGCCTAGCATGCACAAGGTCCTGAGTTCAATTCTCTGTACTGGAAAAAAAAAAGATAAAACTTTCTTCTTTTTTTTTTTTTTTTTTTGGCCAGTTGTGGGGCCTGAACTCTGGGCCTGGGCGCTGTCCCTCAGCTCTTCAGCTCAAGGCTAGTGCTCTACCACTTGAACCACAGCACAACTTCTAGACTTTTTCTGCTTATGTGGTGCTGAGGAATCAAACCCAGGGCCTCATGCATGAGAGATAAGCATTCTACCACTGAGCTACCTTCCCAGCCCAAAGATAAAATTTTCCATTGTAACGTTTTTAATGGCTTCTCTTCTCCTAATCTCTCCATTACAATTTTTTTTTAAATCAACAGCCTCTCACTACTTCTACTAATGTTGGAAATGGTGATATACAAAACTATCCCTTTTTTTCCCCCTGAAAATAAACATAAAATTGGTTACCTCCTTCTTGGGATAAAATTCTTCTTCCTTGTCCCTGAGCTCTTTTACTCTATCATGTTGAGCCACAGCCTACTTCCAGTGTTCTGATGGTTCACTGGTGATAAGAGACTCATGGACTTTCCTGCCCTGACTGGCTTTGAACCACTTCTACCTATACCTCTCAGTATCTAGGATCATAGGCACATCCTACCACACCTGGCTTAATTGGTGAGATGAGGTCTCATCAGTTTTTGCTGAGGCCTCCAACTATGATCCTCCCATATGAGGCCTTTTGAAGAAGTAGAATTACAGAAGTGAACCACCATGCCCAGCTAGTATGCGTTTTTTAAAACTCAGAGCCTTGCATGTGCCAGCCAGACACACTACCACTTTTAGTCATGAACCTAGCCAATGTGCAATTTGTGAAAAAGTACTTTCTGGGGTACTGGTAAGGTTCTGTCTTGATCTGGTAGTCTGTCATATCCTAGGGCAGTATATAGGTAAAATACCATCAACTTGTGTACCCTTATTGTACATTAGGCATATCTAAAGAGATAAATAAAGAAACCCCCTTCCTTTAAAAGGATGCAGCCCATCCCAGGGCACACAGCTTGGAGAATGGCATCTGAGGCAAAATTCAGGTATCTTCCCATCTGACACTCCTTGTGGAAGGTAAAGCCAATATAACTCTAGGGAGCAACTCTGAGACGAGAAACAGGAAGTTCTTCCTTGAGGGACTCTTGGAGGCCCAAAGTTCCCCATGGGGAGCTTTATCCCAATGGGCTAAGAGACAGCCTTATAGATGTGTCACACTGCTATTTATGGAATTCAAGTCAGGCTCTCCATCAGTTGGAGCTGACCCCACACAGAGTCCCAATCAGCTGAGGATGAGGATGAATGGATTGATTCAGCCTGAGGTGGCAAGAGGTAATACAGCCATAGGAAAGAACCATGATTCAACTCCTGCAGAAACTCCCTCTAGACTTAGCCAAACAATCATCCTTCTTCGGCCCTCTACCCACCTTTATGAGGTTTCTCAGTGCTATAAAACTCACAGTCTGGGGCTGGGAAGGTGGCTCAATGGTGGAGTGCTTGCCTTGCATGTATGAGGCCCTGGGTTCGATTCCCTCAGCACCTCATGAGCAGAAAAAGCCAGAAGTTGCACTGTGGCTCAAGTGATACAGCGCTAGTCATGAGCTGAAGAGCTGAGGGACAGCGCCCAGGTCCAGAGTTCGGGCCCCACAACTGACCAAAAAAGAAAAAAATCTTTTCTCACAATCTTTTTTTTTTCTTTCTGTGCCAGTCCTGGGGCTTGAACTCATGGCCTTGAGCTCTTGTTTGGCTTTTTCCACTCAGAGCTAGCACTTTTACACCTCCAGCTCCAGCACTTTGCTGGTTAATTGGAGATAAGAGGTCTCCAGTTAGTTTCATACTTTGATCCTCAGATCTCAGCCTCCTGAGTAGCCAAGATTATAGATATGAACCACCAGTGCCCAACAAAATTCACAATCGTGCTGTCAAAAAAATACATCCCTAGCCAGATGCCAGTGGCTCACGCCTGTAGTCCTTGCTACTCAGGTGGCTGAGATCTGAGGATCACATTTGAAGCCAGCCCAGTCAGGAAAATCCATGAGACTTTTACCTCCAATAAATTACTCAGAAAAATCCGGAAGTGGTGTTGTGGCTCAAGTGGTAAAGCGCTAGTCTACAGCAAGACTTAGGGACAATGCCCAGGCCTTGTGTTCAAGCCTCAGGACTGGTAAAAAAAAAAAAAAAAAAGAAAAGAAAGAAATTTTTTTAATCCCTGTGCAGTGCTCTTTCTTGAATGCCCAGAGGCACAGGCCTGAGGGATTTTTTTTCTCCACCAATGGGCCCAATCAGTTCAGCAGCATCTCAGAACAGAACAAACTAAATTTGGCATCAGGTATCTGAGACGCACTGGTGAAAGGAAGTAGAAGCCATTCCAGTGCTGAAGGAGAGACAGACCATGTCTCTGTCTTCCTATGCAGCTGTCTGCCCAGGCAGCTGAGGTATTATGATAAGCCAAATATAGGCTGGAAGAGTAAATTCCATCTCTGAAGCATCTCTGGTCTTGAGCTTTGATAACAAAGAGCCAGCTCACCTCCTGAGCCTGACAGCGCCTTGCCCATAGCAAGGAAGACATTGTGTGTCTGCTAAATCAAACAAGAACCCACGATCCCCTAATTTCCAACAGCTCATGGCTCTGCCCTGCAGCAGGATACATATATGGAAGAAAAATGAAATGCTGAAAAGGAATATGAGCCGTACATACCAGCCTCCTTTCTATCTCTCTCAGCTGTCCAAATCTTTACAAAATTATACCTGCTTGTGGGCTCTGCAACATCGGATAGACCACTAGCAGAGCAGCCTGTCTGATTAACCAGAAAAGAAAGGGCTAATTCTCCATATAGAGAGCTCCTAATAGCAAGGTGTTTTTCCATTCAGTTATAGAAGCTTTTCCTAGGAGGTGGAGTACTTAAGTCTGACTATGCTTCTGTCAAGCTAAAATCCAAACAGCGACTCAACCCGCAGCAAGATAGTCAGTATATGCAATGCTAAGAGTTGTGTTATCCAACTGCATCACTGTTAATAGATGATGTAAAATGGGCAGATCTACCTCTTAAAAGGGATTCTCACAGGCTAGCTTGTTTGCGACCAGTTTCAGGCTGCTAATAGCCCTTCATCACTGTTAGCTGTCTCAGAAATGACTTCTCACCAGGTACTGATGGCGCATGCCTTTAATTCTAGCTTCGTAGGATGCTAAGATCTGAGGATCACAGTTCGAAGCCAACCCTGGCAAGAAAGCCCACTAGACTCTTTTCTCCAATCAATCTCACACACACACACACACACACACACACGCTAGAAGTGGAAGTGTGGCTCTAGTGGCAGAGTGATAGCCTTGATCAAAAATGCTCACAGACAGTACCCAAGCCCTGAGTTCAAGCCCAAGGACTGGCCAAAAAAAAAAAGAAGAAAAAGAAAAAAAACGACTTTTGGAGAAATAAATACAAGAGATACAGGCAAATAAAGAGACAGCAGACAGGCAGATGATAGAGACATAGACAGGCAAATAGACAGACAGACAAATAGATGATAGATGATAGATAGATAGATAGATAGTAGACAGGCAAATAGACAGACAGACAAATAGATGATAGATAGATGATAGATAGATAGATAGATAGAGATACACATACTTCTACCTCACAGAGAAGACAAAGCTATTTGCCTTTTCCTTAGATGGGGGTAACAACTCCCCCAGGCTTAGATGGTTCAAAAAATAATACCTTCCATTTTATCTTGTCATCTCTTGGTAGTTTTCCTGAGTTTTCCATCTACTGACTTATATGTTGGCATTCCTCTCTCCTCTGCAATTCACTGCAACTTGATTTGTTTTATGTTTTTACAGAATGTGCGTTGGCAAATGTTTAAACCAAGCTGCTATCACAGTATTTGGTCAGAAATGTTCTGCTGAAAGCATTCTACATGTGTTTCTGCTTTTCCACTGGTTTGATCGAGGTGGTGTTCTAAGTCACTGGGGTTTATCTGGGGTTAGGTAATTTCATAGCTTTTTTTTCCCCCCTTCACCTGAATGTATATTCCCTAAATCTTGGTGAATGCTCATGACTATTAGTAGTGCTTGGCCTACTGCTCACCAGCGAGCAGTTTTTCTTGCCCAGAGATGGTTAACAGCCACTAAATGCCTGAGGAACACAGAAGACGGAGTTCACGGTTCAACTATTTCCATATCTCTCGGCTCCTTACGGTGACACTTATCTTTCCTGACAGCCACTCCCATTGTCTTCTTTCCTTGGCCCCAACACAATGGACACATGCAGACACTGGCAGACAAGGGAGGACGTTTTCCATCCCATTGCTCCCCTAGTGCGGAGAGACCAAGCTAAGGTTACATAAGCCCCTCCTGAGTGGTTAGGGCCCCAGGGTTTGAAGAGAAGAATTTGGGGGTTCGTGATGGAGTCACGCTCTACAGGGCCTTGAGACTCTCCGGCTTGCTTGCCTGGCAAGAAACTGGGGATGGATGGTGGAAAGTGGGGGTGCAGAGGCTGGTAAACCAGGGGCTGGTTTGGGGGGGGTTGGTTGGTTGTTTTTCCCACGACCACCTGACTCACGCCCATCTGGCAGCGCTCAACGTGCACCCCCAAAAACCTCCATGTCCGTGAGATCGTGGGACCTCTCAGGCCCACGGGGCTTATTCAGGCTGCAGCAACCCTGTCTCCTCCGACCCCGTCCCTGGGTCCCCAGACGTGAGCTTACCTGCCGGGGCCTGCGCCAGGGCCAGGGCCAGGGCCGGGGCCCGGACCCGAGGCTGGAGGTCCAGCCGCGGCCCGCGCCGCGCCCGCCGCGGGGAGCTGTCCACCGCCGGCTGGTGCTGAAGGAGGCTTCCCTGCACCCGGGCCGGGGCCCGGCCCCAGGCCAGAGCCTCCGGGCGGCAGTGGCCCATCACCAGCGCCACCCTCCAGGCTGGCCTCGTTGCCCATGGTGGGCGAGGTGGGAGGGCGGGAACCGGATCGCCCTGGTTCCCCGGGCCGGCGGTTCCCCGGGGGTGATGCTCACACTCTAGGCGCCGCCGCCGCCGCCGCCGCCGCCGCCATCTCCCAAGCTGGGCTCGCGCGCCGCCGTCTGCTACTGCGCATGCGCGTCACATCCCTGCACACGCCTCTCCCCCCCCCCCTTGCCCGCACTCCACACGCCTCCAGGGCGCGCACGCGCACGCGCGCTCCCGCCAACCCGGCGCGGGCGTCGTGGTGGGGAAGGGTAGGGAGGGGGGATATGGGAGGAGGAGGGAATCGGTGAGCACGCACCAGCCTCCGGGGCGCTGGGATCCACGCCGCCAACCACCCGCGCATGCGCCATCCGGGGGTCAACGCGGCGCTAGCGGGGCGTAGCGCTGGTCCATTGCTGCATGGATACTTGAAAATAGAAAAGTGCACGGGAGCTCGGCAGCGGGGACTCTGGTGCCGGTCAAAGGAGAGAGCAGACGTCGTGGATGAGGCTGGGGTGTAGTGAAGGCAGATCTCAGACCTAGGGGGAGGGGAGGGGAGGGGAGGAGGGGAAGGGAGGGGGAGGGGAGGGGAAGGAAATGTGTTCAGATCTACAATAAGGATGGAAAGAGAGAGAATGGGAATGTTGGGTAGTGGGGACGCATGGTAAGGGTCTGGAAGGCCAGCTGTGGAGTAAAAACAAAACCATCCAGATGCCAATAGGAATTCATCCTGAGGCCTGGTACCACAGAATTGGGGGTGGGGGTGGGGAAGGGGGTGTCTTAAGAAGCACCCTAGGGAAAGATGGAGGGGTTATGTCGTGGATAGCCTGAAACAAGATAGAAGGCCACTTCAGCAGGCCCTGTGACCTTGAGGATTGGGGAAAAGTTGATGGTGGGGAGAGGGGTAGGCATTAAACTCAGGGCCCTGGGCACTGTCCCTGAGCTCTTTTGCTCAGGGGTACCATTCTACCTCTTTGAGCCTCAGCTTGGGAGATAAGAGTTTCCTGACCTTTCCTGCCTGGGCTAGCTTTGGACCATGATCCTCCTATCTCAGCCTTCTGAATAGCTAGGATTACAGGCGTGAACCAGCAGCATGTGGCGAATTGATCTTTAATAAAGGTTTTGAGCTAGAGGTCTGGGGACTGTTTAGAGGAGAGGGCTACAGCTTTTCTCTGTAAAGGTAAGAGCTCACACAATTATTTGTCTACCTCACATTTCCAGATCAATGGTTTCATACTACTCAGGATCATCTGCCTAATAATGGCTTTCCTTTACAGACTTCAGGAAAATTTTCCTGAAGGGAAAATATTTCCTAGAAGACCCAAGATATATTTCCAGACAATTCTACCTTTATAGATCCTGGCTGTATAGAAGAGCTTAAGTAGCTTGGACTCATTTTATAATTCCTAATATCGAGGAATTTATCACCTGAGATGTTAGCGGTTCTAATCTGACCTGGAATGATCTAGAGATCTCAGTGAGCACTGATGGACAGAGAAGTGCTGTTAGATCAAAGGAGGAGAGGCCCTGGGTATTCTTCTAAACTCTAGAATGAAGCATATAAGAAAATGAAGAAAGCCAGACACTGGTGGCTCATGCCTGTAATCTAGCTACACGGGAGGCTGAGATCTGAGGATCGTGGTTTGAAACCAGCCCAGGAGGAAACTCTGCGAGACCTTTATCTCCAAGAAACTGCTCAGAAAAGTCAGAAGTGGTGCTGTGGTTCAAGTGGTAGAGCACTAGCCTTGAGCATAGAGAGGCTCAGGAGTAGAGCCCAGGCCCTAAGTTCAAACCCCAGAGAAGGAGGAGGAGGAGGTAGGAGGAAGAAGAAGAGGAGGAGGAGGGGGAGGCGGAGGAGAAAAGAAAGAGGAGAAGAGGGGAAAGAAGGGAGAGGAGGGAGAGGAGGGGGAGGAAGAGAAGATGGAGGGGGAGGGGGAAAGAAGAAGAAAAAGAAAGATGACTATATGTGAACATTTAGGCTCCAAGTGGGCTCACATTTCAGACCTGATGCTTCCCAAATGAGACCTCACTAAGTCCCCAATTTCCTCGTGTACAAAGTTAGGATATTAACAGCACCTGTAGGAAAGATAGATTGTAATGGTGGAGTGGCAGGTATGGGGGGAAAAAACGCAAGGACAGAAGCCTGGCACATATATGACAACTCTACTATTATTTGTTTCTCTAGTGGTATTTGGGGTTTGAAGGCTTTGCGTCATTGTCTTTCCTCTTGGAGAAGAACATACACAAACACTATAGGCAGGCCCAGTAGCTTGACTGTATTCCAAACCAAGCTACTCTGGCTTCATGACCACAAGTCATTGTGAGCTGGGCTGCTTGAAAGGGAGAAACGATGTTTGTTTATTTGTGGGGCTTGAACTCAGGGCTAGCATTCTACCAATTGAGCCACAGTGCCACTTCCGGGTTTTGAGTGGTTAATTGGACATAAGAGTCCCACAGGGACTTTTCTGTCAGGGATGGCTTCTACGTTGATCCTCAGATCTCAGTCTCTTGAGTGGCTAGGATCACTAGGTGTGAGCCATCAGAGTTGTTTGTTTTTTTGTGTGCCAGTACTGGGGTTTGAACTCAAGGACTCATACTCTCTCCCTTGGGTTTTTTTTCTACTCCAGCCTGGTCCTCTACCTCTTGAGCCACACACACCTCCACTTCTGGCTTTTTTGCTGGTTCATTGGAGATGAGTCTCACAGACTTTTCTGCCTGGGCTAATTTTGAACCCCAATCCTCAGATCTCAGCCTCCTAAGTAGCTAGGATTACAGGTATGAGTTGCCAGTGCCCCACCAGATTTTTTGGGGGGGGGCGGGCGGTCATAGGGCCTGAACTCTGGGCCTGGGCACTGTCCCTCAGCTCTTCAGCTCAAGGCTAGCACTCTACCACGTGAGCCACAGCATCACTTCTGGCTTTTTTTTGCTTATGGGGTGCAGAGGAATTGAACCCAGGGCCTCATGCATGCAAGGCAAGCACTCTACCACTGAGCCACCCTCTTACCTGAATGTTTATTTGCTGCTTTTGTAGGAGTTACTGGAGTTGTGGCTTTTCACAGATTCAAATCAGCATTCCACTGGTTCCTGCGGGGGTAATTAGCCATAGAGGCCTGGGGAGTTACCCTCCTCAGAGTGATTCCTAGCTGTAAGTACATCTCCAGAGTCTTTGCTTCCTTGGTGATCAAAGGGATAGTACAGGGGTCCCAGGAGGACCTCTGAGTGTTGGGTCGTAGTGCCCTTCCTCTCTCAGATTCACACAGTTCCATTTCCTCTGAGAAACATCCTCAGGAGCATGTCTGCCCTGTCCACGTCCACTGCTAGCATTCAACCCAAGGACTCATGCTGACTGTGGAATGGTGCTGCCTCTGATTATCCAAGGCTCTGATTCATTCTTCCATATTTGTTTGGTTGGCTATTTGTTTTGTTGCTTTGTTGCTGTTGTGGTGGTAGTGATGGTGGTATGGGGATGTGAACTCAGAGTCTTATATTTTCAGCATCTTTTGCTGACAGCTGGTGCTCTGCCTCTTGAGCTATGCCTCCAGACCTGGTTGGCTGGTTGTTGTTTTATGTGTATTTGTTGTTGTTTGCCAGTCCTGGGGCTTAAACTCAGGGTCTGGGCATGGTCCCTGACCTTTTGTTTTTTCTTTTCTCAAGGCTAGCACCCTACCACTTGAGCCACAGTGCCACTTCTGGCTATTTCTGTTTATGTGGTACTGAGGAATCGAACCCAAGGCTTTGTACATGCTAGGCAAGCACTCTACCACCAAGCCACACTCCCAATTCTTGGGGTTTTTTGGTTTTGGGTTTTTTGGTTTTTTTGTTTTGGTCAGTCCTGGGTCTTGAACTCTGGGCCTGGGCGCTGTCCCTCAGCTCTTCAGCTCAGGGCAATTGCTTTACCACTTGAGCCACAGTGCCACTTCCAGTTTTTGGTGGTTAATGGGAGATAAGGGTTTCACGGATTTTCCTGCCTGGCCTGGCTTTGAACCGTGAACCTCAGATTTCAGCCTCCTGAGTAGCTAGGATGACAGGCGTGAGCCACCGGTGCCCAGCTCCTTAGTTGGTTTTTTAAGACAGGATCTCATTCGGTAGCACAAGCTGCCCTCAAACTCTGGATGCTTCGGCCTGAGCTTCCCGATTGCCGGAATTGCATTGATGTATCACACACATTCATTTCAGTCTGTCATTTTTATACTCTGTGTCTTTTCTTCCCTCTTGACCAAGACTGGATTCCTCAATAGAAGGACTTCCTCCCAGTTGTCATTACCACGTGGGCTGGCCTTCAGCCAGCTGAAAGATGGGCGTGTCTCTCTGAGCATTTCCCTCACTTGCACTTCCTAGGAGGCCCACCAATCACCAGGCTTAAAAGCACTCCAGAAAGCCCTTTAGCTATATTACCACTGAAGCTGTTGTAACATGCTGAGGTTGCCTTCCTTTTCTCTTCCTGGAAGGGCTATTGAGCTCTCTTCACTCAGGAGAGTTCATTAAACTCAACTGTACTTTACGACAGCAAATACACACATTTCTCAGTTTGTGCAAAACAATTGTATGGTATATCTGATGCCTCTCTCTCTCCTGGGTCCAGTTACTGTCCCCTCCCATCAGGGACAAAATTGATTTGCAAGAGTTTCACAGACCCCTAAACTTCACCATCTGAGGATATCTATCTTCAGCACGACATGTGATAAACACATGGTAGCCATTTTGAAGAAGCAATAGATGGGAGAAGAATGAATCCATACATCCTAATGGAACTGATGAATGGACAGGTGTCTGCTTGTCTTTCCAGCTTGTGCTAGTAGACGTAGTAGATGATAACACAGGCATCTATTACAGTATAGTGGGATATACCTATAATACCAACATTTGGAAGTCTGAGGCAGGAGAATAGCAAGTTTTGAGGGCAGCTTGGGATACCAAATGACACCCTGTCAGAAAGGAGAGGGCAAGGTGAAGGTAAATCAAGGATCATCCAGGGAATAAAAGGCCTGTTAAACC